GTGTGTGTGCGTGTGTGTGCGTGTGTGTGTGTATGTGTGGGTGTGTGTGCGTGTGTGTGTGTCTTTCTCTCTCTCGCACTGCCTGTTTTGACTTTTCGATCTTCAGGCAGTTGCCGGGTTTTGCCTTGCTGCGCGTCTCTCGTCGGTTAGTGATGTTCCGCGCAGGCTTACCCAAGCTACGGGGCGATCCGGAGTGTTGAGGGTTGATTTATAGAGTTTTATAGAGTTTTATGGCAAAGAAGCAAATCCGAGTTTGTTTATAGAGTTTTATGCCTTCGCGAAAAGAAGCAAATCTGCGTTTGTTTATGGAGTTTTATGGCACGGGTATATGTCCTTCCTAGTGCACGTTTTCTTTCTGTTCGCTATCCACTTCGCCTTTTCATTCTCACTGCTTGTCAACCTCGTCGTATTTCGTCTCTTACACCTTTGAAGCGTCGCCCTTGTCTTCATCGTGGTCAACTTTTGCGCTGCTATCGTCACCAATCGTAGCCACAATCCAATGAAACCATCATGTGGTAGACCGGCTTTGTTTGCGGCGGTGAAGAAGAGCAAGGTGAATCACAACGGCGGCGGCAGTAGATGCGCACACAGCAATGCAAACGCGAACAAGCGGCTTGCTGCCAGCCGGTGCCTCTAAATGGTTGGCAGATACTGAAACAAAACAGGAAAAGCACGGAATCTATCTTGAAAGAGGAAACGAGACGTACTGCAGTGAATCATGACGGCCTCTTCTTTTTCGTGCTGCGCTTCTTATGTTACCGCAGGTGTCTGGGCCTTTGTCATCATCTGCTTCTTTCCCGCCACCACTGAATAGTCCGCTGTGAATCAGTTACCTGCTTCTCAATTGGCTGTCGGTATTTGTCGTCGCATGGTTTGATTGATCTTCTCTCTCGTCCGCTCCCCTTCCCGCCCCCCTCCCCAGGGCGCGCCACCTCCGTCCACTTTTTTTTCTCTTACGTACACCTTTTGGAGTTCTGGAAACCCGTTCCCCTGCAGCTCAGCCATGTGCTCCCTTGTAACTCAGCGATGCCCTTACTCTCTCTCTCTCTATCTCTCTCTCTATGATGTCTGGGGAGGTTTCAGTTTCACCATCGCCATAGCTGCCTTCTGCTGCTTCCCTTTTCTCCTTATCTTCCTATCAGGCTTTTCGAAGATAGCCTAAAAGGTGGGTGCTGGGCCCGATCCGGTGCCGAGGCTTTGGCACACGTCTTTCATTTATTCGCTTCACCGGCGTTGCCGTATCGTATCTTGTCGTGTTCTTTTGGAGAGACTCTGTTTCCTTTTCGATTGTCTGCAGTACTTAGTGTATTTCTCGCGCTCATTGCTTGAGATATAGAGATTCGACAATAATATCCGACGATGCTTCAATGCTCTCTTCGTCTCCCTCTTCTCTCCCTCTTTTCTCTTTGACGGCTCCTTGGCTCCGTCTTTCGCAGCGCTGACTACTGTGTTCTGCGTGGTGTCCTTCTTTTTTTTCCAAAAGTGAATGTGAAGCACGTCGGAGCGGCGAACATTTGACTAATTTTTCTTTCAAATATACAATTTACGATTCTTGATGATTTTCGTACGTCTGTGTAGTTGGTACTTTGATGATACCGTGTTCACTTCTTTTTTTTTGTTTTTTTTTGCACTGCCGCCCGCTCTCCCTGCAAGAGTTGACCCCGCGGCCAATCTGCTGTTGTCTCTTTAGGGATGTGCGTTGCTCCAGTTCCAGAAAGCGTGTTTCTCTGATGCGCTCATTCATCCGTCCGTTCACCCATCCTCTTTCCAGACGAGACTGTGGCTTGGTTGTTGGGGTCCGGCGCGTATTACTTTATTTTATTTATTAGCGGTATATTACTTATTTATTTCGGATCGCAAGGTGGAGATCTCCCGTCGTATCTCCGGTGGGTGGGTGGTGGTGAGAGAGATCGAGTAACACCAGCCAACATCATTCCGTGAGTGATTCCATAATTCCGAATTTCAGTAGTTATTCTATAATGCCGAATTTCAGTAGGAATTCTCTAATTCCGAATTTCCGTAGGAATTCCACAATTCCGAATTTCAGTAGGAATTCTCTAATTCCGAATTTCAGTAGAAATTCCATAATTCCGAATTTCAGTAGGAATTCCATAATTCCGAATTTCAGTAGGAATTCCATAATGCCGAATTTCAGTAGAGGATATAAGGGCCTAAGTCAGTTTGTATGATCTAGAAAAAAAAAAAGAAACTGCCAATCTGTAGAAGTAACTCGATTCTCCCTTATAAGGAAGGAGGTGATCCAGCCGCACCTTCCAGTACGGCTGCCTTGTTACGACTTCACTCCAGTCGCTAGCCCTGCCTTCGGCATCCCCCGTCCTTGAGGAATCCAACGAAGTAGCTGGGGGAGGAGAAAGAGCTGCCGATGTCGGTCATCAGACGGGGAGAGGGCAGAGGAGAAAAAACGGATCAGAGCTTCCGCGCTCTCTCTCTTGTCATGTATTAGCACCAGCTAGCTGGGAATCCACCGTTGCCTGTTTTTTTTTCTCTCTCGCCGAGGAGATAGAGCTGCTGAGGCTACGGACGCATATGGTAGATTGAGCCACAGGAGAGCTGCACACCGTCGGAGACGGTCGGGTTGCAGGAGGAAATTCGACCACAGGAGAGCTGCACAGCGTCGGAGACGGGTGTCAGGAGGAAATTCGACCGTAGCGTAGCTGCTCGATCGCCCGATCTTTGTCGGGGGAGGCGGGGGAAAGCACGTGGAGAAACGCGAGCGGGAAAGCAGTTAGTGTATCATCAGCTAATTAGAGAATTTAGAGCACGGAATTGGTGGTCCCAGGATTTACGAGTGATTTTTTCACTACTTTGAAGCTGTGGGAGGAAAATAGTGGTAACGGATTTAAAGCGGGAAAATGTAAGCAGTTCGATTTTGAAAATACAGCCCGGACGGATATCAGCCCTACAAGCAGGTTTGGGCCTTTTGAATCCGCGTAGCATGGCGAGCATTCAGAGTGTAGGCCATTCATAGAAGAAACGGTTGCGATCCCGACCGATTACGTCCACGCTCGAGTTCTACGCCCGTACGCCTGGGCTTAGTGCCAGATGTAGGAGAGTGCTAGCGAAGGACAGTCCTACCTTCTTCCCCCGAATACAACGTACGGCCATTGTATCTGTATTTGAGGCATCTTTCAGTCTAGATACCGCTATAACTACCGTACGTTGTATTCGGGGGAAGAAGGTAGTAGGTCCCGAGGCCTGCCTGTAACGAGGAGCGCAGCTCCTCCTTGAGACGCGTAGAGGATGATGCGCAAACTTGAGCAGCAAGTGTATACAAGTTGTTTCTAATGAAGTGAGTTCCGCGTGTATGAGAGAGCAACTTGGCAATTGCTTGTCACTATTCTTTCTCGCCGATGGATGGGATGGATATATTGATGGATGGATGGATGGATGGAAGAATGGACAACGTAGTGCTTTAAAAGATCTTTCGATCGACGTCCTAATATGTGTAGGTTTGGTTTCTTCCTTTCCTTTACCTCTTTGCCTTTGGCTGCGTGCAAGTGGGGAGTTCCGCGTGTATGAGAGAGCAACTTGACCATTGCTTGTCACTATTCTTTCTCCCCGATGGATGCGATGGATATATTGATGGATGGATGGATGGATGGAAGGAAGGATGGACAACTAAGTGCTTTAAAAGATCTTTCGATCGACGTCTTAATATGTGTAGGTTTGGTTTCTTCGTTTCCTTGACCTCTTTGCCTTTTGGCTGCGTGCAAGTGGGTCCTGGTGGCTTACAGGGATGGGGGCAGCCAGCGCTCAACCTGTCATCCACGTGGCTGGCCTTGTACGTAAAGAGGTGATGAACAGGCGGAGCTTTCTTTCCTTCTTTCCTCTTTTTGTTTTGTCTTTTCCCGCCTTTGCGCTGCCATTCACAGTGTGACAGTACTGTATATATGTATATATCGTCAAACCATATATATATAGGTAGATGTATAAATATATAGGTCTTTATGTTTTGTCCGTTTACATGTGGCGATTCAAGTGAAAGGTTGTGGGGGGGTGGCGCGGTATGAAAACTCTGTCCTGTATCTGTATCAGGGGCGGTGTAAATCGGAGTACTTGTGCCGTGAGATGTGAGAGAGAATATTCAGATGCTCAGTGGTCTTCTCGTCTTGCCCCGTGCGAAACCCTATTTGCGGCTTCATCTCGTCATTCATTTCTTGTCGTCCGTGGTGCTGCCGTCCTTGAAATGCAGACCTGCGTTAGAGAGCCAGACGAACGAAATGCCTGAGTTACGCGCTGGGGCCTCTGTCCGTTCGACAATCACATCTCAAGACCGTCGCACTTTTTTCTTCTTTTTGTAAAGGGAAGAAAATGTGAGGCGTCGTTGGGATGTAAATTTTCTGGCTTTCACATGGACTAAAACTTGGTAGGCACTGTGCTGCCATTGTCCTGTTCCCTATGTTAATTGGGGAATTGTATTTTGCGGTGAATCGCGAGCATGAGTCGCCGTCCGGGTACAAAAACAAATTGTGATTCTTATAGGAACTTGGTTGATAGATATAGATGTCGGTGTGCATATCATATCATTCGCTTCAACTTTGTATTTGTCTTTTTTTTCAAAAGTCGAAGTTTTGAGAAAGGGCCCGCGTGACTGGCATTGCTTTGTGCAGCAGGCTTTGAATGAACTCATGGTTGGTTTAGGACTACCGGTAGTCGCTAACAGTTAGATGCAAGCGAGATGTGGCTCTCGATCTCTTCGTCTCCGTTGTGAAGGGTATAATGTACATAGTACTATAGACAGACAGGCGCGAAAGGAATTCTGGCACGTCTATTTCTTTTTCTGACATGTCGAGGCACAAGATCGTTTGCGTTGCTATGTGGCGAGTTAGTCGATCTCTTCAATATTTTATGTGAGGGGTATAATGTACGTGTAGTATAGACAGACAGGCGCGAAAGGAATTCTGGCACATGTCTATTTCTTTTTCTGACATGTCGAGGCACAAGATCGTTTGGGTTGCTACGCGGCGAGTGAGTCGATCTCTTCAATCTTTTATGTGAGGGGTATAATGTACATAGTAGTATAGACAGACAGCCGCGAAAGGAATTCTGGCACATGTCTATTTCTTTTTCTGACATGTCGATTCACAAGATCGTTTGCGTTGCTACGCGGCGAGTGAGTGGTCACGTCACTCCACGGCTAGGTAGGTAGGTTCTTTTCCGTTCGGTGCAAACGCGATGAGTAGTTGTCATCGTGGTTACGCCGTTCTTTTCCCGACGGCAAGATCGGCAGTCGTCCTGTTTCTATGAAAATCGGCCGGTCGATGATCGTCTCGCCGGGTGAAGTCCGAGCGAGAATCACCGGTGCTGGAGACCCTTGCTGCAAACACGAGTCGGGGGTTCAGAGACCTACCTCCCAAACACAGGAATGACGGGGTCGAACTTCATTCAGGGCAATCGATCTGGGTTCGTGTGAAGCCTGCGTTGCGTGTTGACCGACGAATGTAGTAACTGGGTCGTTGTTGTCCGGATCCGGATATCGCTGTCCTCCTTGTTAGGGGTAAAATCAATCACCACCAGCCGCGGGCAGATGGAGTGAAGGCAAGGCAGGCTTTTGGGTGAGGAAAAGACGGATGGATGCGGCAGCAGCTTCTTCTGGAGCGTTGGAAAAGCAGCGCTAGTGACGGCAAGGCAGGCTGTTGGGGGTCTGAAATGGAATATAGCGGGGTAATTATGAAATGATGAGACCCAAAGGGTGGGACAGCGACAAAGTGAGCGTACAGCATGGCGCTGTCTAGGGTTCTTCTGGTTCCGTGGTCGATGACCCTTGACTGGTTTACACGTGCAATGGCTAGCTACTGGATGGATGGATGGATGGATGGATGTTTTATAGTATCATAAATAAATCGGACTTGTACATTATATACATAATGTATAAGATAAATAATGTATAGGATATTATATAAATCAATCAATTATATATAAATAAATATTGTTGTTAATTTCTTTGGCAGGGTGAGTGCTCCGGTCGCCGTGAACCCGTATTTTCTGGAGGTTGTGCATGCGTTTCTCGCTGGTGATCCCGTATTTTCTGGCCGCGTGTGCTTCTCCTTGATGCACTCTCGTTCGGCGTCTTGTGCTGGTAGTAGGTAATTGATTGACCGTGTTCCAATCGTGTGTGGCTTTTCTGGGCGTGTATGCGGGAACGAGTGAGTTTTTGTGCGTCTGCTGCCCGTGTGGCTGTGCATTCTTTGTTGCTATCTAACACACATTGAGGGATATCCGTTTGTTTCTCTCTTGCAGGGTCCTGAAATCAGAACAGGCAAACTGAAAGAGGGAAAGCCAGTTCAGCTCACGCAAGGGAAGGAGATCGTGATCTCGACGGACTACAGTTTGGAGGGCGATGGCGACACTATCACCATGAGTTACAAACGGCTGCCTGTGGACGTAAAGCCGGGGAACACTATTCTCTGCGCGGACGGCACCATCACTCTGACGGTACTGGAATGCAGTCCCACACAGGGAACTGTGAGGTGCAGGTGTGAAAACAATGCCATGCTCGGCGAGCGAAAGAATGTCAACCTCCCCGGAGTCATCGTCGAGCTTCCCACCATCACCGAAAAGGACAAGGAGGACATCCTTGGTTGGGGTGTCCCGAATTCGATCGATTTCATTGCGGCATCCTTCGTCCGCAAGGGGCAGGATGTCGTCAACATCAGAAGGATCCTCGGACCTCATGCAAAAACAACAAAAATTATCTCGAAGGTAATTAATGTCAGTCCATCTTATGAGCCCTTCGTCACCCATCTGTAGTGGCGGTACTGAATCTCTTGCCATCTCTTTGACATCTATCCACACCCTTTCCGCAAGGCTGTGTGTGTGTGTGTGTGTGTGTGTGTGTGTGTGTGTGTGTGATGACCTGTTTTCTTCTTCCAACTGCTGCCTATTCTGGACTGTACTGTCTTTGTGCGTTTGGGTTCTTCTTTCAATAACCAACCATACTTCTCTTAGGGTTTAACACCCGTCTCGCAAGTCTGCAAGGACATGCCCCCCTCGTACCTACCTTACAAAACAAGCCCCTGATCACCCAAATGATATGCGTGTAGCAGCCAAGTACTCGCTCCAAAGGGTCAGGCAACAAAAAAGACCCGTCGGTTCGGTAAAGTTTATTTTCAATATATGTATGCGCCCAAATGAGTCCTAACTTTTGTGAGACGGCGAGGTGAGTGAAGTGAATCCTCGTCAATGCATGGCCAACCCGGTAGGTTCCGAAAGTAGGGAACTGTGTGTGGGTGCTGTCTGCGACGTGGTCAGGCAGGCAACCAGTTCATGCTATGCCAATGTCGCACTCTGTGAATTAATCAATACAATATATATGCTTGCTTGCGTCGCTGACGTGAGGAATTTATTTGTCTCCTTTGTACTTCTAGCGTAGTGGGTGGATATTGGGCCTCTGCACTATCTCGAAATGTGCGAGACGAGAGTGAATCTTCCGCTAGAATATGGAAAGATACACGACCATGATTTTTGTCTTTTGTGCATGTCGAGAGTAGTGCAGCGACACCCATTGTGGCTTGTTTTCGTGATTCTCCTTTCGGTATCGTCTCGTATGCCCAACGTTGCCTGGCCTTGTTTATTTCTCACGACAATTGCTTTCCTTTGCGCCCTCTTGGTTTTATCGTTTGTCCGTCCAGATCGAGAACCAGGAGGGCCTTGTGAACTTCGATGAAATTCTGAGGGAGACGGATGGAGTAATGGTCGCCAGAGGGGACCTGGGAATGGAGATCCCCACTGAGAAGATCTTCCTTGCGCAGAAGATGATGATCATGAAATGCAACTCTGCTGGAAAGCCCGTCATAACGGCGACGCAAATGTTGGAGTCGATGATAAAGTCCCCTCGCCCTACTCGTGCAGAAGCCACCGATGTGGCCAATGCAGTTCTGGATGGAACTGATGCCGTTATGCTGAGCGGCGAAACTGCCGCGGGAGCGTATCCTGAGGAGGCGGTGAAAGTCATGTCGCGAATTTGCCGGGAGGCGGAAGCCTCTCTTGACTACCATGCAATCTTCAAGGCCATCATTAAGGAGACTCCCCTCCCAATGAGCCCCCTGGAGAGTCTGGCCTCGTCTGCCGTGAGAACTGCCAACAAGGTGAGGGCCTCGCTCATCGTTGTGCTGACGAGAGGAGGCAGTACTGCAAAGCTTGTGGCAAAGTACAGGCCGTCCATCCCGATTCTCTCAGTTGCTGTGCCTGTTCTGACCACGGACAATCTGTCTTGGTCCATCAGCGAGGAGGCTCCTGCGCGACAGAGCTTGATCTGCCGAGGTCTCATTCCGCTTCTCGCAGAGGGAGCAGCAAGAGCAACAGACACTGATACAACGGACGAGATCCTGAACGCAGCTCTGCAGTGGTCCAAGAACAGAGGGCTCATCAAGCCAGGAGACTGCATCGTGGCTCTCCACAGGATTGGTGTCGCTGCAGTGATCAAGATTGTGGACATCAAGTGAGCCGCATCTCCAATGAGTGCAGTGTGCCGCATCTCCAACGAGTGCAGTCTCTCTCTCTCTCTCTCTCTCTCTCTCTCTCTCTCTCTCTCTCTCTCTCTCTCCATGCCTGTCTGTCTGTGTGTCTGTCTCTCTATCCTCTCAATCACTCTGCATATCCATCTATCCATCCACTCGCCCATCCATCCATCCATCCACCATGCGTCCACCATGCGTCCACCATGCATACAGCCATCTACTCGTCTATCTATCTATGTATTATCTATCCATGTATTCGATTGGCTGGGCTTGCGCTGGACAGTTCCATCAGTATTTTGTACATCACCTTCGTCTCCAGTTCTTTGCAACAAAGGGAACCTCATTGTTGGGGTTTTGCTGTTATTCCGTCATGTGGAAATGAGACAACAATCATGGATTCGAAAATTCCTACCCTCACTTCGTATTGCCGTCTTCATATTGTGATTTTCTTCCCCTCTTGCGGTCATGGCTCCTTATTTTTCGGTTCAGAGTTTTCCCTTTATGCTCGAATGCATATCAGATAACTTTCTTCAACCAGGCACCACTGCCTTTGCACGTCACCTTCCACTTCGTTGTTTCCCTCTTTTGTTTTCCAGTCTGGCACCCAAACTTCCTCTCTCTCTCCCATTCATAACAGCATCCACCATATTCCTTTCCGACAAAGGCAGAGCTTGCGCCGACCCTTAATATCATTGCCTCAAACCCACCGCTAACCCCGATGGACTCCTAAGATTGCCCGTGTCCCGTGTGTACAAGGAGGGATTTGTGGTGCAGCCTGCCAGACGGCCCGCAGGGGAGACTTAGGGTGACTTCACGCGAAACAGTTCCTGCTGACCTGCGTTGTTGGATGGTTTGCTGACATCAAGAGTCGGGTGAGAAGCAAATGTATAGCCCCGCGGTCCATGCCTGAGGTTCGGCGACCTCAGGGCCAGGGCCAGTGGAGCGACAGGTCCGGGTAAGGGTCAGCGACGGCGGTGATTTAAGAGGATGATTCGTGGAAGAGTGAAGGACGTTCATATGTGGCCGGTTACCCCCATTTATTCTGTGTGAGATGATTACGTTTGGGAGTTTTTCCGTCATTCCGTATTTTCGTGCGAAGTGTGAGAGCTTCTTTGTGGGAGAGTTGAGGATGTTCGTAGGTTGCCTGTTACGCCCCTGTTTGTTCTGCGTGAGCATCTTTGGCAGGCTCTTACGTCTCCTTGGGCAGGTTGATATGATTATGGGTGGGAGTTTTTCCCGCATTCTGTGCTTTTCGAGAAGTCGGAGCTGCTCTTCTGCAGGGTGTTCTCCATGAATGGACCCCACTTAGATGCTGAAAGATAGGACCGACTTTGGCAAGCAGAGTGGCAGGTACCTCCTACGGTTGCCCTCTCAAGAGTGGGTGTGCCATGCAGCATCGAAGGATTTGAACCGGGCTCGGGAATTAATAATCGTAGTGAAGCTTGTTGATGATAAAGCTGAGTGCACTTGCATTGCAGAGTACCTGTCTACCTGTCTCACTGGTGCGTGACTGAGTTATGCATTACGTCTCCTTGGGCAGGTTGATATGATTATGAGTGGGAGTTTTTCCCTCATTCTGTGCTTTTCGAGAAGTCGGAGCTGCTCTTCTGCAGGGTGTTCTCCCTGGATGGACCCCACTTAGATGCTGAAAGATAGGACTGACTTTGGCAAGCTGAGTGGCAGGCACCTCCTATGGTGGCCCTCTCAAGAGTGGGTGCCACGCAGCATCGAAGGATTTGAATCGGGCTTGGGAATTAATAATTGTAGTGAAGCTTGTTGATCATAAAACTAAGTGCACTTGCATTGCAGAGTACCTGTCTCTACTTGTCTCACTGGTGCGTGACTGAGTTATTATGCATACTCTTCCACTATGGTGGAAATGGAAGAGTTCAGTGTTGGAACTGAATATAGGATTGGTTAGCGCATCAGGAGTGAGAATTGTTGTTTAGTGTTCCGGATAACGCAGAGAAAGCGCATAATTAGTTTGCAGGAAGGGTCGAGTTCTTTTGTTTTTTTTGTGTTTTTTGTCACAAGTGGTTGCCAGCCGCAGCTTTGGTTGTGGCACAACAGAAATGTGCCGGGGCATTTCTCTTCGCAGTGTGACTTCTTGGTGCTGTTTGGGTTTGTTGTGGTGTTATGTCCATGGTGCGTCGAACCATTTGTGTCAGTTGTGTTGTGTAGATTGGTGCAATAATTTGGGGCTGGGCGGCCAGAACCACTATGCGCGTGAAACGTACACACATACAAACAATACACAGTTCCCAAGGGCATTGAAAAAATAAGTGGACGTGGCTCGGCTATGCCCGGGACACGGAGGGAGAGGATGCAAAGGAGGGCAGATGTGGGGAGAGGCAGAGAGTGTCGAGGATGGGGTGATGAGGTAACAGAGGGGAAGGCAACAAAGGTGTTGGAAATGGCGGAGGTAAAGGCGGGGAACTTTTGAACAGGAAGAGTGGAATAACACATCTTGCGAGTGTGTGAGAGGATATTACTGTCTCTGTCGTCCTCTCTCTCTGTCTGTGTCCATTTCTGTCTTGCGCTCTTATTGTATCTCTGATTGCCTCCCTCATGGTCTCTCTCTCTCTCTCTCTCTCTCTCTCTCTCTCTCTCTCTCTCTCTCTCTCTCTCTCTCTCTCTCTCTCTCTCTCTCTCTCTCTCTCTC